GTGAGTGTGTGTGTGTGTGTGTGTGTGTGTGAGTGTGTGTGTGTGTGTGTGTGTGTCCAATGGTTTATTGGGAGAGCGTTGCTCTTATATCAGTCTGAATGTGAAGAAACTGCTGTTTTGAAACTGTTTTGTTTCTTGAATGGGTTCTGCATAAAGTTCACATTCACGTTCACATTTGGTTCCGTACTCTGTTCTTTCTGTATTTTGTGAGCCATATGAGCTCTTTGTGTTCTCACACGCCGAATGTGTTTTTCTCTAGACATCACACTGTAACTCGAGGGATCACCAAAGGTGTGAAGGAGGATTTTCGGCTAACCTCACGGTGCTCCATTGCTTCTGCATTAATGAAAAGATCATCCTCATCCAGTCATTACCCTGAGCGACCTCTGACCTTTAACCTCATAGAAAACATAGTTTCAGACATATGTATCAGTCCAGTTTTGTTACTTTACTGACATTTTTGAAATGTGATAAACATTTTTATAGTGAATTGAATTGCGTCATACATGAAGCTTCAGACATGTTTAGAGTCACCAGTCATCCAGCAGATATAATTTAAAGCATGGTTTTATGTCAGGTATTAATTAACAAACATTAAAAAAATACAAATTGTCTGTAAAATGCCAAATTCACTGTTAAAGCAAATGCAATATGTTTTTCACATTGTATTGTGAAAATGAACTATACTGTATGGTGTAATATAATGTTTTGCTGGCAGCTCATAATCAATAAAACATTGGTTCTTTAGTTGAATACTCAGTTTCATTGTCATGCTTTAACCTCTTTCAGTCCATGCATCACTAGACACACATGTGGTCATCCTTAGGCCTTCCTCTATAATGTCTTTTGCCCCATTTATGGTTATTAATTTCAAGGATTGGCACTTGTCAGTCTTTGTAATTAATAGCTTTAAATCAGCGGCTCTCAACCTTTTTGACTCTCAACTTTCCAAATGTTCTTCAAGGTTCCTAGTCTTTTTAAGCAATGAATTTGCAAGCCTTTTTTAGACGTTTGTGATTCACTGCATAAAGATTTTTAAAAATACTTTTACTCCCAAACTGATGTGTTTTAGAGCTTGGAAAAATATTTTCAGAATATAATCAGAAAAATGTATAAAAATGCCCGTTAATTTTTTTAGATTTTGTTAACTTACATGACTTTTCCAGTATGGAGTGATTTAACAGAATAAATTAAATAAACATATAATGGAATTATTAAATACATTATGGAATGTCGCGGTAAATAAATAAACATACAATGGAATGGAAGCATAAATAAAATGAAAAGTGTTTTTATTTATGCTTGCATTTCATTGTACTTTTATTTAATTTTTGCAACATGCCATAATGTATTTAATAATTCCATTATATGTTTATTTCATTTAGTCCATTAAATCACTCCATATTCCAGGTCTAAAAGTCACACTTTTAAAATTAGACAACCTCATATCCAGGTTGAGGGGGTGAATGATAAACATCTTGATTTTTGACTTCTTGAATCATCTTGAGGCCCCTGTGGAAGTTCGCCATGGCCCCCTGGTTGAGAACAACTGCTTTAAATAAATATCCGATTGACATTCTCAATGAAATTATTAGTAAAATTCCTCTAATCACTATTCTTCTCTCTCTGACGGACTGGGAAGGTCGGCCTGCAGAGCGGCTCTGAGATTTGCCCAGAAGAGTTTCTGCTTGGCTCCCTCTGGTGGCCACTCTAGGTAGGTGCGTCTGGACATCATAGACTTGAGCTGGTAGTACTTTGAGGGAATGAGATACAACGGCAGAGGTTCGAGCAGGATGAGAATGATGCTGTCCATCCCTCGCGTCACCCGCTGGTGATTGGCGAAGTAGAGTTCGTAGTGGCACCACTCGCTCTGGACGAAATGAGAGGAGAGCACGAAAACACACCTTCGGCTCTGCTCGATGCTTCGGAGGATGTTCTGGATGATCGTCTTTCCCGGGATGAAGTCGCGCTCGTGGTGACACACTCGCAAGCCGTAGTCGCCTTCGAGCTTGGGAAGAAATTGAGATTTGACCCAGTCGGCGTTTTTTTGGCTGTACGATACGAACGCATGGAAGCACAACCCCTCCAAGTCTTCCGTTTTCCTTTGGGAAGTTATTGCGTGGTGCTTGGCGCGCGTCCATTTCCACATCATCTTGAGGTACCACGGCACGTCCAGACGATGGCAAATAAGGCTAATGGCGACTACCAGAGTGATTGTCGGGATCAGAATAGTGATAGCCAGGATCCAGGCGTTGCAGGAGATCTCAGGAAGGTAGAAGTCTTCTAGTAAAGAGTTGCTCCAGGATTCTGGGTAACTGCATCGGTATCCTTCCGGCCAGTGGCCAAGAGTCAAACCAAGAGTTTCTCCTCTCGGTCGTGTTGCTCGGTCTTTGATGAGAGCGGCGAATTCACGCAAAGCACACGTGCAGATGAAGGAGTTACGGCTCAAGTCAAGATCTTCCAGATGCGGACAAGTCTCGAGGGCTCCCGGTAAAGGCGAATTAATTGAGTTGGATCTTACCGAGAGTTTCTGCAGATTTGGGAATGCTTGGCAGGAGGGAAGGTCTAGAAGACGGTTGTCCATGAGGTCAAGGACCCTCAAGTCGTCCAAAACCCGAAGATCTGAAAGAACTGTGGTCACTCGGTTACTCTGAAGGTTTAGGATCCGTATGGAATCGGGCAAACACTTGAAGACGCTCTGGTCGAACCCATTCGAAGACAAATCCAGTTGGACAACTTTGGGAGGCCAGACGCACTTGCCTTGTTCCTCTGAATAGGTAAGTGTGTTCTGACTGAGGTCGATGTGTTGAAGCGATTCCATGAGATGGATTCTTGAGGTCAGAGGTCTAAGGAGTTTCAGGTTGTTGCCCCTCAGAACCAACTTTACTAGGTTTGTAAGTGTACTGCATTCAGTATCCGGATCAACCGAGAAGACGTTTTCTGTAAGGGCGCAATCGGACAAGTCCAACACCTCGATCTGGCTAACAGTCCAAGGACAGGTCATGAAGATGATGGGCGTTTGGGTTAAACTGACGTTTCTTGCGGGCATGTTTATGAAGAAGTCATAGAGCTCTTTTTGATTGAAGATGAATTCGGTTACGGATGCTCGAGTTGTAGAGAAGGAATCCATTATGTGGCTCGTGGACAACAGCGTGCCGCCTTCCATTTTTGTCATCGTAAGGTCTGAGAAAGAAAGCTGTTGAATCGAAGACTGAAATATTGTGTTTACACCGCTTGTTAGAACTTCCCATGTGGTTTCCACTTTGGAGATTTCCAAGCTAACGGTGCGTAGGATTCCTCTGCGGTGTATCTGCTGGATGACCTTCATCCCGCTGTCCGGTTGAGTGAATTCAACCTCTTTAAATGCTGCAAAAACATCCTTAGCGACTGCAATATCAAGGTCGCTCTTGGACAATGCAATGATGGCTTTCTCGGAGTGTACTTCTGTAAGACTGTTCTCCTCATACGTCTGTAGGCTGTTTGCATTAATAAAGAGCGTTTTCAGAGTAAGATTGGCAATGTAAGTGAAGTCTTGGTTGCTGATTGATTTGGCGCTCAGGCCCAACCACTGCAGGTGTTTCAAGGTGGAAAATTCCCTTCCTAGTGCCATGACGGAAAACATGTTGGACGACAAGTCTACGAACTGTAGACGTCCCGTTTTAAGCAGGTACGGTTGGTCCGAGAGGTTCTGGAGTTTGTTGTGCGACAGATCCAAGATCTCCAAAGCCGGCGTTGAGTTAAATGCATCCCTGTCTATGTTCTCCAGTATATTCCAGGACAGATTGAGGAAGTGTAGCCGTGGTGTTGTGCTAAAGTCTTTGGCGCTCAGCGTCTGGATGCGATTCAGTGACAGATCCAAGTCCTCCGTAGACGGTTTGAGGCCGGGGGGAACTGAAGACAGGTTCTGAGATGAGTAATTCACTATGATCCGCTTTATGGCCAGAATGAGAGACGGGTGGAAACACGTGACATAAACAGACACCAGCCACCAGCCTGACAGCTTCATCTTTCTGACGGAGAGAAAACACTTGATTTAATTTACTGTTGCAAGTCAACCGCATTTTCTCTTTTAGTTAAGTCTCTAGCATTAGTTTGCATTGTGGTTGCATTTTAAATTTACTAAAATAAAATAAAATTAACAAATACATGCAAATGAAGGCATTTGGGAAATAGTGCATTTGGATTAGTTTTACTGTAAAGCAAAAGACTTTACAAAGCGAAAGTTATTATGATTAGTGTGGTAATGTTGGCATTTGAATTTACGGTACATTACTTAAAACCCCTGTTTAATTAGCTTGTAAATTATCTTTTAAAATGTTCTGTTTTGCTGTTACCTGTATTGTTTTTAACTGATCAAACTGATTTTTGTTCAGCCAAACGCACCTATTGGTATCAGATTGTATAGACAATAACATAATGATAGATAGATAGATAGATAGATAGATAGATAGATATTATTTATCTTACCCGTCGGCTGTGGATGTTGACTTAGATGTGTCTTATGAAACTGTAGATCACATTCAAATGATGTTGCTGAACTTCTGCTTTTTCACTTTCACTTCTCCAAACTTTTACATTTACTGACAGCCACCAGGTTATTTACTCTCAGATATGGAGCCTCATATGGAAGTAATGCTTTGACTTTGTACTAGGCAAGTATCTGAAAGTTTCTCCATTAAAGAAACCATTCATGTGATACTTTTTATTTTTGTTTTGAAGTTTGGTCTTACATGACTCTAACACCTCTGGTTTGTATATTTAAATATATTAATATCTCAAAATGGGATGTTTAACATATAAATCATTGCTTAATAATTGCGCAGCTCTGTTTGACTTGTTTTGTCAGAATACGCAGTACCATATTTGACCAGCAGATGATTTGGCTGCTCTTTCAGCTGCTCTTTTCAACATGCTTATCACTTTATTTGATATCTTTAATAAGAGTTATCCATCTCTGAACAAACTTTAGCGTACAGTCTGTATTTTTCTGATAAGGTTGCTGTGAGGAACTGTAATATGAAGCGCTTTATTTACCTCAGACGCAGTTAATGCTGTTAACCATTACAAACACAATCGAAGGCTGTCTCTATTAAGCATGTGTGTGGTTAAGCAACCATAGTATTTTATTTGAACTTTAGGTCTTTTATCAAAGAATTGTAAGTATTTTAAAGCACCAGGCAACGACATGCTCCTGATGCGAAGGATGAAGGTAAGTATGTGAAATGATGGCCACTAGTATTGGCCAAATTAAAGCAGCATTCCCATATAAAACTATGATATATTAAATATATTGCCCTTTATCAAGACTGATATTGCAATATATGTTATCTACAAGGCCATATATAGCCTAACTTTCACATACGAACATTATGTGGATGTATGATGCAAGTATAAATATATATAAAATCCGCATAAATTTGTATAGTCTATACATATGTTAATAATATCTAAATGATGATTTTTATGTAGCAACCATATGTCAAAATATAAATTGTATTTATATATGCAACTTTATTAAAACAACAAATATACAAAAAAATCTGTTGATGTTGTTTTTTAAATATATATATATATTTCATATTTACTTATTTAATATCAACTAGTTTTAGGATGGATATACTTGACATTTATGTCTAAAAATGTATTACACACACCAAAACATGCATGTTTTTATATGGGCTAGATATATATGTTAATATATGAAATTTATATGTATATATGTTTTTACGTCATATGACAATATATTTCATATATTTTAAAACATTTTAAATGTATGCATTTAGCAGACGCTTTTATCCAAAGAGACTTACAGTGCATTCAGGATATGCATTTTTTATCAGTATGTAAAAAATACTTTTACATATATGGAACATTTAAATATATGGAAATGTAATATATGTACTTATATTGCATTTGCATATGGCTTGTATGCATCCTGTGCAGTGAATGCAATCCCAATTATTAATTAGGCAAATTAAACTATTTTACCTGATATTTGTGCTTTTATGGTTATTAGAGTTATTAAAGTTTAACAGTATGCCACCTCTATTGCAAACAGTTGTCCAGTTGCCAGAACGTTCTGGCAAAGTTCTCTAAAAAAGTTATCAAACGTTCTTCCAGTAATGTTAATAGAAGTGATCTGATCTTTAATAACGTTGTCTAAACATTAGCACAAAAGCATTATTTATACATCGCCTATGGAAACATTTTAGTTGGACGCTCATCTAAGATGGTTCAGAGGATATTCAAAAGTAACATGTTTGCAAAATGATACAATGTAACGTTCCCTTAATGTTGTCTGTAACTTTCACATAACCAAGAAAAAAAAGCTGGACGATTTAGAGAACATTCAGAAGTAATGTTTTCATAAATATTAACGCTAGCAAACTGTTTTTAGAACATATTTTGTTAGCTGGATGTGAGTCAAGTTGTTTGGTAAGTTGTTGTATTTCAGATAGGATGCTGTCTTTGAAGACAGAAAATCAGGTTTTCTGCGTTTGTGTCTTAGTTACACGTGTTGTTTTCCACTGATCGAGCTGATTTTTGTTCAGCATCCTCTTTGAACAGTCTTCTGATCTAATCAGATGCTCCCAAATTATGTCTCCAAACACAATCGCACGCAACGCTATAAAACTACAATCACATGTCCTGAAGCTGTCATCGACTTCAATTGAGTTTGATCTTCAACCCTGAATGCAAAGCAAAGGTTTATTGCTGTTTTCATTGCAGTTGTTTGCTGCTCTTCCGGCCTGATGTCGGAGGTTCGTGACATAAAACAGCAGCGTAACGTCTTTAGATGGATATTGAAGCTGTTCTTCAGAAATGACAGCTTAAACATGAAAGCGAGGTCAGATGCACGTGTTGCAGAGACAGAGTTATTTTATTAGGTGTTTCTTTAAACATACTCACTTTTGTATCACATATTTTATTATGATTTTTATTAAAACTTCCAGATTTCCACCTTTTTCTCCGTTATATGATCACATTAAAAGAGTCTTGGATTCGTTTATTTTCAAATATAATGTTTGAAAATAAACTAAAAATATGTATTTTGTATTTTTTTTTGTATGTAAAAATAGATTTTTTTTTCACAATCCCAGACCTAAACTTTGAATCTTAAATAATAAATAAATAAATAAAATAATGATATACAATTTTTCTTTATATTATTTTATTTGTATTATTTTTTATATATTATTTTATATTATTATAATTACTGTATTTTTTTAAACTAAAATAATTCAAACAATGAGTGAAATAAATAAGCTATCTTAATGTTTATTGTTTGGAAATGATTTCTGTCAGTATTGTCAGAATTATGTCTTCCAATTTTCCTGCTTCTTACTAATTGTACTACTTTACTCTGTCTAGACAACGGTGTCAATAAAGAGTTTGAGATGAAATATTAGACGTGATGTGTGGAGAAAACAGACAAATAAAGGTAAATATATATTTTTTATTGTTTATTGTTATTTTTTTTTTTGTGCACAATTTTCAGCCTGGTTTTTTTTCCGGTTATGAAAAACACATGTAAATATTGTGTGTACTTAGGATCCATAACACAAAAAATACCTAAAGACCTTATGCTATGAAATAAGTCTTGCACTGTAACAATTATTTTTTTAAGTTGTAAATAAAACGAAGATTATTGAAGTATATTATAGAAGAAGATACTACTTTTCTACTTCGCAATTTCAGATTTAATTCAGTGTCTTGCCGTTTCTTTGTAATTATTTGTGAAGTTTACTAGTAATTTCTGAATCTTACATTTTTTTATGAAATATTGAAATGAAAAATATTATGTAATGTTTGTTATATATATGAGAGTTGGCTGCTATTTGTCTCTTTTAAAATACATTGATCTTGTCATGAAAACAGCCATAGATTCTGGTTTGGCAATAAAAGCAAACAAATAAATAAATAAAATAATAATAATAATAAACCAATTCGGTGCAAAGTTATAGTGTAGCAGTAATTAGTGATTCTTTAAAATCTCTACTTAAGAAATTGTTAGGGATGATTCAGAGAAAAGAGTATTTTATCAAAAAATATTTATTGTCAGTTTGTTTCTGTTTATTGATTTGTTTATTATAATTATTAGATAAATAATATTTAGCATCCTATAGAAAACCAAGCCTGTTTTGAGGACATTCACTTTTTTAAAATTAAATATATGCTTTATTTATTTTTAAATATTACATTTAATTGTAATGCACGTATTTAGACTGATGAATATTGTATATTGTGGATATTGACATATAAATTAAATAGAGAAAGGTGTGATCTAAGACAGTTTGCAGGGCACATAGAGACACCCATCAGCGTGTTTCAGAAAAACGCCAAATTTAATTTACTCCATTGATTTGCCAGATAAAACATCTTTCATTCTCTCTGCTTCTTTCCTTGCTTTCTTTCTCTCCATCCATCATCAGTCTCTCTCTCTCAGTCTCTCTCTCTCTCTCTCGTTCTCAGACGCTGTAAGTCATGAGAAGATCAGAGTTCATGTTAATCATTGATCAGATCTTCGTCTTCCTGCACTCTCAGATCTTCAGTGTTTATGTGCGTCTCTCTCTTTCTCTCTCTCACTACGAGCTTCTGGTTTTCTTTTATTAATAATGCTTTGGTTTTCCAGCGGAGGACGATGAGCGGATTTGTGCTCGTGTAGGTGGCTCACGATGTTTCGTGTCTGGTCTGTGTGCGTCTCTTTAGTGTTGATTTTATGGGGAACGTCTGAGAAAGTCCAGGGAAAAGCATCTAAACTGTGGCTGCAGCCGCTGAACAAGACGTTCCTGCAGACCGGTGTGTTTCCCAGCGCGTTTCTGTGGGGCGTCGGGTCTGCGGCGTTCCCGACCGAAGGGTCCTGGGATGCGGATGGGAAAGGCGAGTCGGTTTGGGATCGCTTTACTCGTCACACAGATCCATCCAGCGATAGCTACATCCAATGGGAGGAGGATCTGGAGTCAGTTCGGTATCTAGGTGTGAACTTCTATGCTTTTTCTTTATCCTGGACACGGATTTTCCCGGACGGAAATGCGAAGGCACATCCCAACCCGGCCGGAGTGCAGCATTACCGCCGCTTGATCGGGAAGCTGAAGGAGCTTCAGATGGAGCCGGTCGTGACTCTATTTCACTGGGATTTCCCACAGGTCCTGCAGGAGCGCTTTGGAGGCTGGCTCAACCGAAGCACGGCGGATGTTTTCGCAGATTATGCCGCATTTTGCTTCCGAACGTTCGGAGCCAAGGTCCGCTACTGGATTACGATGCATAACCCGTTTCTTCTGGCCGTCCAGGGCTATGGGACCGGCGCTCACGCTCCAGGAGTGACCGGAGACCCCGCTGACCCCTTCATCGCCGCACACAACCTCCTCAGGGTGAGTCTGGGGTCAGAGGTCAAAGGTCAGGTGTGAAAAGAGTGAATGCAGAAATAATGCAGCGTGCAAGACTGTGTGTCAGGAGATATATTCAGGGATTCATGAGCCTCCAGTAACCACAA